TTGGTGAAGGAACGTAAGGAAGCAAAACCTAATGACTAAAACTGTGGTGATATATTTTAGTTGTGGGAACTGAAGGAAAATATGATGGCTAGAGCTGTGGACCCAAATTTTGGTGACGCAAAATTTTGGGAACACAGCCATAGGACTCAAACTGTGGACATTTTTTTGAGTGAGGGAGTTGAAGAAAACAATGATGGCTAAATCTGTGGACAGCTTTTGTGGTGAAGGAAATTAAGGAAGTAAAGCCTAATGACTAAAACTGTGGACAAAATTTTCGGTGAGGGAACTGAAGTAAAAATACGGATGAATAAAACTGTTGACAAAATTTTTGGTGAAGGAAATTGAAGAAGTAAAGCCTGAGTTTTTTCAATATTTCAATATAGTTATTGTTCATATTTAATGAACTAATATATTGCAAGTCTTTTTTAACAATATCATCTACAATACCCAAATTCAGAGTCACAGTGCCTAGATCAATTTTCAATTAAAACTTTCATAACTAGGTTTTAGGACACGAATTCAGCAAATAACAATAATCATATTGATAAAATATTCAGTAAGACAATTCTAAATACATGTAAATTGTTCAATAGTCTTTACTATATCTAGATACAATAAGAACACATCAAGAGAATCTTTTACCTCTTGAAACAGACTTATTCGATATTCTTTTTGTTACTATCTATTGTAAGCCTTCCAATGGCTTCATAGATTCAATGACTTGTGTGGTTTTGTATTGCAAACCTTTCAATGGCTTTTGAATTGAAAGCATTTCATTAGCTTCAGATTTGTAAGCCTTTTTATGGCTGTTATACTGCAAGCGTTTCAAGTGCTTTTGCATTTCAAGCCTCTCAGTGGCTTTCGGTTGCAAAATATTGCAAGCCTTTTAATGGCTTTCAGACTGTAAGCCTAAGTGGTTTTGTTTTGTGAATGGAAGGTTAGTGCTCACTGGTTTTGTAATGCTTATATGCATGTATTCTCAAGGGTGTCAAACACCAGAACTTCAAAAAACTGAAGTACTGATAATGACAATCACCTTAATCGCGCAAGTAAACTAAATATACGCGTACCAAAAAAACAAATCTTAGTGTCTATCACACCAGCTCAAGCAAAAACAATGCAAGTAAATGTTTTACACCACTGTATATAGGCACACTGCTTTACACCATTTCAATTGACTCTTTTGTAAGAAGTCAACGCAAGTGCGATTGCTTTTTGAAAACAATTCCAATGAGCATTGCAGCCATGTGACACTGCATGCATTGACGCTGCGCATTGCGTGCACTGAAAGAAGCAGCTGCTCAGGCTTTGCCACAGCAAGCTCTCCTTGGCCTTTTCATTGCAAGCTTCACTTTGGCTTTTGCAAGCCTCTATTGGTTTCGTTGCAGCAAGCAGGTTGGCTTTCTCATCATGACAAGCATCACATGTGGGTGTGTCAGTGCAAACTTGGTTGCCTTGTTACGGCAATTGCTTTGCATTGTCATTGCAAGTTTTTTTGAGCTTTGCCACTGCAAGTCTTGTTGGCCTTGCTATTTATTGCAAGCCTTAGTTGACTTTGGCATGGCAAGCTGTCAGAACCATTGCAAGCCTTCGTTGGAAAATGTTATTGCCAGCATTGTTGTTTTTTATTTCAAGATGTCCTTTTCTTTGCACCGAAAAGTTTGGTTTGCTTCTTTTAGGCGACAAGCTTCAACTGCCTTATGGCACTGCAAGCTCTCAAGCTTTGAGCAAGCTGTAATGGCTGTGGCATTGCATGCACGCTTGAAATGCTGAGTCGATGTTGTTGTGATGTTAAGAAAAGAACTGTCTGATGTTGTAATGCACATATGTCTTTGTTTGAAGCAACCAAGCAGTTTTTGTGTATCTAATGCGTTAAAATTTGTGCTTGGTGCTCACTTCAAAAATGCAATGCCCAGCGCGACAAAATGTTTCAATAGCCCTGTTGCTTTTACATTTCAATCAAAAAATCAAAACATTTTTCAATGATGGTTTTCAATTAAACTTGTATCTCCAAAGTGATTCTGAACAAGGTGTCATCACATCTTTTTACGAGCACCTGATACAAAATAAGTAGTTAGGTAGTTAGTAAGTACTTAGCTAAGTGTGTTAACCTTGGTAAATACTTGGCACAGGGTTCATCTAAGTTTGGATCGTCGGCCGAAAGTGCAAGCGCAGGAAGCAGCGAAGAAGGCAGAGCAACGGCAGGCGGCCAAAGACCGTCGCGAGTCGCGCAACCGACAAGCTCGCCAAAGCCGCGAGAGAGGAAGCCGACCGAAAGGAAGAACTCATGCGGCTCCGAGAAGCTGCGACCGCGAACGTGGCGCAGCTGGAAAAGAAGCGACGGGAAGACCTAAAGAAGGCGGGGCGGGAGACTTGTGGCAGGCCACAGAGCTGCAGGGAAGCTTTTGCCTTGCGGGAGGCTCGGGAAGCAAGAAAGGTCCAGGCAAAGCGTGCTCAGCGCGCTGCCGTTCGAAAGGCACTGCGCGCGGCCGCACAGCCCCGCAAACAAAAACGACAGCCGGCAGACTGTGGCAGGACCCCGAGCACAAGGACCACGCAAAGTACTTGGCCTCCAAGCAAAAGGCAAGCAGCGAAGAAAAAGAAACAGCGCCACGACGCCCGTTGGGTGCCCAGCCAGTAGAAGCGAGGATGGGCGAGGGCAATGGGAACGGGAAGGCTCCAGTGTTGGGTTGTGGAATGAGCGTGTTCAATTTGCTTGTGTATAATCGAACCTTTCATCATTTGTTTTTCTAAATCTTGCATCCGGATGTTTTTCAGGGCCTCGGTTTTTTTCGGAATCCGGCGGAAAATTTTGCCGGACTGAGGTCCGGCACTTTTTTAGCCAATAAAGGAGGATCCAGGTATAGCATGTTGTTTTTTTTGTTTCTCCACGGCTGCTTGACGCGCTTTCCGAGGCGATGAAGGCATGTGCGCAAAATGGTTTCTGGCCGACAGCTTTGGACCTGACCCGAAAGCTGGGTGAGACTTTTGGCTGGCAAGCGGCAAGCGGGTACGTTTTCTCGTTTTCGGGCCCGATTCCCCGGCAGGGTGTTATATTGGCAACCAAGTCCTGACATGTACCGAATATATATATATATATATTATGTCATAGATGTCATTGGCCGTGCTCAGAACATCTACTCAAGCTCTTTTTGTGAGTTAATAGGAGGTAGGTGTGCTTTTCGGCCCCGATCTCCCTCTTTTGCAAGACGCCGTTCACCCAGGATGTCCATCGCCCTCGACGGAACCACTTTGTCTACATGCCGGCGACTTGGTGTGACACGTGGAGTGACACGTGCGATCACGTGCAGTTCCGGGGGGCCATGTGTGTTCTCACATGTGTTTCAGGAAGAGTAACTAAGTCCTCCGACAGCTGACATGGACCATCCAACATATCAAAACCATTGGTTTATATAGTTTGCAAGGAGTCAAAGCAGCACACAAACATGTTCCGTTCTTTGCCCACGTTCGGTGGTGCAACCTCTTAGGGACTTTGCAATTACTCGGAAGTTATGGAATGAGGTGCCATCAGCTTCTGGGCCCTTGTGTTGCCAAGGACAGCATGCAGCAGGGCAGAGGTGTGGGATGCTCGGCTATCATCAGTATAGATAAAAGAACACCCATGGACATCATGGGTTCCAGACCATGGAAGTGAAACAAATCAAACGAAGAATGGTCAAAAATTCCGCAACGATGTTTGTGGAGTGTTTCCACCAAACCCGAGCCATTGGAGCACCATGGCCCGCCACCGGCTTCAGGAACTTCCTTTGCAGTTGCTGCAGACCTCTTTATTGTTGCGGATTACTCCGGATCTTATTGACTATGGAGCCACTCTGTCAGCTTGCGAGAAGACAGGGCAGTGGCGACCAGGGCTTTGCTTGCTGAATACGCTGCGGGAAAGTGAATTGCAACCAGATCTCGCTTGCTTCCATGCCTTTATGGATGGAGCTGGAAAAGATGGATGGATCCTTCCAATCCACATGTTGAAGCTTGGAAAACGTGAAACAATAAAGAAAATGTTGGTGTTAGACCCGTGGCTGTGTGTGGATCTCAAGATAAAAGTAACTCAACATTTATATGCCAGGTTTACAGTGTATCGCTTTCCCGTTGAGCATCGCTTCCCGTTGAGGGTCCTTCCATGTCACAGACCAAAAGACCTGCGTCCTTTTGTCCCTCTACAAACCTGTCCTGAACTGTGATTCTGACATGTGATTCTTGCATTTCTGCTGTACCCATCCGTCTATTTTAGACAGGCCATGTTTGTCTGAAGCCTCACAGAACCTGCTGGGTGATCTTATTGTTTTTTTGCACGTGAATGTCCGAGGGGGGTTGACGAGGCCGTTGCTTCGTTGTTTTTTTTTGTTAATATGTGATTGGGAGGCCACTCACTATTGACCCAGCGTTTGCTTGAGGACAGCACTGCTACACACCAACATTTCATCCATCATGACCACCTACAACATTGCTATCAATGTGCCTGATCTTTGCGATCTGCGGGGATCTGTGGGCGATCTGTGGGGCTGTTTGATTTCTCCATGATGGACTGGAATATCTACAGATTAATTGGAGCGTAAGACATTGGTTTTCGGCCACGGGTGGTTCATGAAATCCTGGTTCCTCAAGTCAAAGGTGTCTTTCTTTTTTCAGGGCATGGATACTTACGGCACTCGATTCTTTGCTGAATCGTTTTGTGTTGACATTGACCTGCTAAACACAAGTGACTGGCAAGGCCGAAGGCGGTATGATTTGAGTCAAGGGTAGATCCTGCCAGGGGAACAACTCTCACAAAAGACTGCCGTTGGCTGAGGCTTTGACCACTTGGAACAACAAAGTCTCTCCAGCTTGTACAACATTGAACCAGTCCAAGGGATATGGAAGACATTCATTTCAGCATGGAACATGCCGAAGATCTTACTAAACCAAGTACTGTACCATCCTCGCCATCCTCCAAGCAGCCTCTTCCGGCGCGCGCACACGCCTACGCCTCGGCGCGAGGCCTGTGACGACTGGCGCCGCATCTCGGAGTGGTTGGCTTCGGCGCGGCGCGCGCAGCTGGGGCTGCGCGTCGACGCGATCAGTTGGAACTCGGCGTTGAAGGCCTCGGAGCTCGGCAGAAACGGCGGAAGGGAAAGGCGGTTGGAATGGCTTCAAAAGGGGTGGTGGCAATGGTGGTCTAATTCTTAAGCAGGCGAAGACCATGTTGCACAACACGTGAGGACCACTCGCCTGGAGCAATCTACAGCATTATAAACATAATTGATGTAGATTGATAGGACCCCCCGTTTGGACTGCAAAACCTCTCCACATGGTGTCACCAAATCAACAGTCATCTTTACCATGCAGCATCATGCAGCTAAGAAGCAGCTGCTTTTTTCACTGGAAGAGCGGTCCAGCTTTTTGATTCCCGGCCACACTCCACCAGAGGTTAAACGAAACACTTCTCACTCCGACACATCCCCTGATGCCGTCCTCGACCTTCAGTGCGCCGGAACCCGGCGGAACCGCCGGAACCGAACTCGTAGGCCGGGGCCTCTCCATGGCAGAGGCCGCTGGAGATCCTTCGGCAGATGCAGGTCATTCAGCGGATTCGATTCAGCGGGTTCGTGACGCCCGGGACATGTGGACATCCCGGGTGAAGTGAGGCCGGTTCTGAAGACCGGGATCGGTCGGACCGGGTGGTTTTACATGGTAGTTCGCATTCAAACCGAGGAAGACAAGACTCGTAGTAACCATCCACAGGGGACTGAACCGATTTATCACTGTATATCACTGTGTAGGATAATTGTCAACATGTTTTAGAACACATGCAAGATGATGCAAGCTGCAAGTTTGATCTGACAATTAGCACGTTGAGTAGCTGTACCACAAACGTTGACATCGATGCATTTGCATGTTGGGGTTTGTTGTGCATGTAGTGCCGTCTACTACTTCGGGATGATCGTAATGTTGACATAATATGTCGACATGTACTTGATCTGTGGAAGACATCCAGGGGATAAATTTTCAGCACTGGATAATCTCCCTTATGGTTTATGTATGTTTATTTAAGTTACTATGTTTATTTGGTTTTATTGTCAACATTCAGATTAACAACAATGAAGCAGGGTTTTCTTTTCCAGTGATATTAAGTGGTGTGGGGTGCAATAAATTCCATGTGCTTGGAAACTGCTGGACGTCCAAAGTTTTACCATGCTGGCTTTGGGGCACAAACCTGAACAGCAGAGATCCTATATACCCAGAAGAGTATATTTGCCCAGACGCTTCATGTATGGGAACTACGCAGATATGACATATGCCTACATTGATCCCTGAGCCTGAAACCATGCCAATTTGTAGAAAAATATGAATGGAGCGTCTGAATTGACTTTCAGAGTCCAGAACGATGCTACTTATAGTAAAGGCAAGTCCATGTACAGAAATCATGTGTCTCAGTTCGCGAGCCATGCTTGGAATCACCCATGGCAGGGGAGGCCAACTGAAATCATAGATAGATGATGATAGAACCATTGGATATCATAGAGTTATTATAGCACGCAGTTTGAAGGATTTTGGTCACACCCTGAAAGCTCTTGGAAAGCTGTGTCTTTCTCACCAGGACGAAGCTCTACTGCCAGATGCCTTGACAGCAGATGCATGGGCGAACACTTGGCGGCCACAGCAATGGCAACAGGCACTGTCCGCCCAGTTTTGCAGGCGCGGGCGGTCCGAGGCCCCGGCGGGAACACCGACAGGCACCGGTGAAGCGCGAAGGGGGAAGCACGGAGAAGCGCGCTGTGCAGCTGTGCAGCTGCAATCACTGCATCGCTGCAGCCAAGGGTTCAAAGAATCCATGTCAAGCCCGACAAAAGCGGACTAATTCAACATGACTCCTCTCCCAAATCACCGCGCGCACAAATATAGGTGAATACCCTCAAATCGTAGATGTTGGGTTTTCCTTATGAGGTCCTCATATTTCTGGGAGGTCAACCCCTGCATCTCCGACTTGTTCATGTTCGCGCGTCCATGGACAGGTCTCCTCTACCGCGCTTGGCTGCGGCCGCGGTGCAGGGTAGTCCGTGGCACCTAGGCATGGAGGAGATGGGCACGACCCTGTTAGGCAATGGACACTCGGTGTACACACTTGTTTCCATCTAACCTATATATTTAAACCCCATCTTCAGGTGGGTACCAAAAAGAGACCGCATGATGCATGGAAAACACGTCCCCGCAGAAGAAATAACAGCTTGCCGTGGCGCCTTGAGCCCGACCCAGGCAGCTCGCCTCCTCCCTGGCGACCACCTCACGCCAGCGCCGGGCTGAGCCCGTCTCGGTGGGCGACGGAGGCGTGGAACAAGCGGACGGGTTGACGCGATCGCATCCCGGTGCCAGGTAAAAGATAGTGCTCTGTCACTCTATATATTACATTTGAATATTTTTGATCATTTCGGAGGTGATACGTTCTTTGTGTTGCTTTAAAAGAGCTCCTTCTCAGTCTGAACCAGAGCGGTTCTACACCTTGAAACATTGAACATACTTAAAAACACCTCCCAAGCGGCGTACCCCTCCGCGGCGCGAATGACCCCGCACCGGGTTCCTGGCGCGAGTGGAGGCGGTGCCTGGCCGAGGGCTTTGCAGCTGGTCGGAGGCGGTGCCTGGCAACAG